AGGAGGAGGAGGAGGAGGAGGAGGTGGGGGGAGGAGGAGGTGGAGGTGGGAGGGGAGGGCGGGGGGGAGCGACGGGCCTCCCTTCGGATCTGGGCGCAGCAAGCCTCTCACACTGGGCGTTTTCGCCCAGTTCCGGGCCCCAGAGGGCGGGGCGCCGGAGCCGCCGCTGGGGGGGGCATCAGGGCGCCGCCGGTCCTGGGACGGTCTCCTGAGGCGCGTCGGGGAGCTTTTCTTCCGGGGGGGGGGTCCTCGAGCGACGGGGCCTCCCTCCCACCTCCCCCCCCCTCCTCCCTTAGGAGGAGAGGGGTACCGCTGCCTCGCTGCAGTTGCTCGTTTTTCCTCCTCGGGCCTCCTGGCAGGCCCTCGCTGCCACGGCTGGATTCGCCTCGAAATCCTGGTCAGAGCTCACCCGGGGAACGGTCCAGGGAGTACAGGTATCGGTACTTGTTGGTTTCCCCGCTCCAGGCCTCCCAGATGGGGTCGGAGTCTGTGGGGTCGGAGGATCGCGCCACATCGCCAATGCGGCTCGACGCAGGGCCCGAATTCCTCCACGCCGACGTGGCCGATGCATTGTCGACGCCGCCGATGCATCGGCAGTGTATTGGCGATGCGGCGCGAGTCTCCGACCCCATCTGCTCCGACTCCATTTGGGAGGCCTCTACCCTCTCCCTCCCTCGAAGAGGATGATGAGGGCCACCAGAGTACAGTGGGGACGCGCATCAAGAAACCATCAGCTTTTCGTTAGGGTATCCTGGGTTTCTTCGCTCCGCGCGCTGCGCGATGACTTCCCGCGGCCGTTGAAGAAGCTGCTGCGTTCAGGGTGCTCTGGGTTTCCCCCCGTGCGCATCTCGCGCGCTGGTTTTCAGGGCTGGGTTTCTTGCGAGGGTTTCTTGCGGCCGCGTCCGCACTTTCTTGCGAGGGCGAGTGTTTCTTGCGATGCTGCAATTCACCACCCACCAAACCACCCCAGCCCAACCCGAACGCATCAATTTGCACTCCATTTCTAGTTGGGGGGTGGGGGAACATTGACAAAAACACACATAAAGCCCGTACCCCCCCAACCCGAAATTCGGGTCTTCGGGTTGGGTTGGGGTGGTTTGGTAGGTAGTCAGCAATTCACCCTCTCTTCCCCGTTTTCGGAGTGCCCCTGGAAGCATTAATTCTGCACTGTGGGCAGCGTCCCCCGTGACTGATGAGTGCTCCATTGGCCTACCATTCAGTCGGGCCTGTCCCTCTACAGGGGGAATATTCAAAGATAGTCTAAACATATTCTGGGGACGATTTTTCCATTTTTACCTAACAGCGTTTGCTGATAGGTTTCTAGTAGGGTCAAAAGAGAGCATCATGACTCCTCAGGGGGGTCTGGGCGGGTGCCGGGGAGGAGAACCGGGAATCGTTTTTCGCCAACAGTCACACACTTCGTGCTCTTCGACCTCCCAGAACTCCATTCCCGGGCCACATTCTGGAGAACCGGGAACAGAGCCGGGCTCGCTTTTCGCCAACAGTCACACACTTCGTGCTCTTCGACCTCCCAGAACTCCATTCCCGGGCCACATTCTGAATGCCCGGAGCCAACTGTAGGCCACTTCGTGCTCTTCGATTTCCCAGAACTCCATTCCCGGGCCACATTTTGAATGCCCGGAGCCAACTGTAGGCCACTTCGTGGTCTTCGAGTCCCCAGAACTCCATTCCCGGGCCACATTTTGAATGCCCGGAGCCAACTGTAGGCCACTTCGTGCTCTTCGAGTTCCCAGAACTCCATTCCCGGGCCACATTTTGAATGCCCGGAGCCAACTGTAGGCCACTTCGTGTTCTTCTAGTTCCCAGAACTCCGTTCCTGGGCCACATTTTGACTGCTGAGGCAGGCTGATGCTGCGGCCGAGGCAGGCTGAGGCTGAGGCAGGCTGAGGCTGAGGCCGAGGCTGAAGGCAGACTGAGGCTGAGGCTGAAGCAGACTGAGGCTGAGGCTGAGGCAGGCTGAGGCTGAGGCTGAAGCAGGCTGATGCTGAGGCAGGCTGAGGCTGAGGCTGAGGCTGATGCTGGCTGAGGCTGAGGCAGGCTGAGGCTGAGGCCGAGGCTGAAGGCAGACTGAGGCTGAGGCTGAAGCAGGCTGAGGCTGAGGCTGAGGCAGGCTGAGGCTGAGGCAGGCTGAGGCTGAGGCTGAGGCAGGCTGAGGCTGAGGCTGTGACTGCGACTGCCGTTGCCGCTGCGACTGTCATCGCGAATGCGACTACGACTGCGAGAACAGCAGAATTCTACAACTGGATTTTCATCTGAATCTTAAGGGGAATGCTTTCAGATATGCTTCTACACATCGTTGTTAGGTTGCTTTGCCGGGATAGTTGAATATTTTTGGTGTATGTTTTGTGTAACCCCATACCCACGATAATAATGTACCCCCCCCTCCCCCCTATACACATAAGAGTTGATTACCCACGGCCAATAAGAGTTTGGTCGGGGGCGCGGGGGCGCGGAGGCCGAACTTCATGATCACGGGGAAAAGTTCGCCATCAAGCGAAACAAGCAATGCTTTAGGAATCCTGTCGTTCTCTTCTCCTTCTCCTCTTCTCCTCCTCCTCCTCCCCCTCCTCTCTCTTTCTTCTCTCTTACCTCTCGTTCAATATGTTTGTCTACTTTCTTCTGTCTCTTTGTATCTCTTTCTGTATGGTTTTTTTCTCTCTCTCTCTCTCTCTCTTTCTTTCTTTCTCCTCCTCCCGGTGGCCCCTGAACTTGTTTATCGCTGTGCTTTATTATCCAGGGACACCGAGGCAGATGAGCTACCCTACACGAGCAGATGAACATTTTAATTTTCATTAAGCGTTTACACATTAAATCAAATAAATTTTGAACTTTGGATCTTTGCTATCTCCTTCTCCTATCCTCCTCTTGCTGTTTCTCCTCTTCCTCCTCCTCCTCCTCCTCCTCTTCCTCCTCTACCTCCTCTTCTCTTTCTATATTTCTATTTGCTCGCCCCCCCCCACATGATCATACACATTCTCCCATCATCCCTCCAGTCATCATAACCCGTTCCTTCCTCCTGTTTTTCTTCATGATGGTTTGCTACGTTGCAAACCGCAATTCCGTCGATTGCAATCCAAACACTTCAGCGCGAAGCGACTTCAGTCTTTCGCGGCGCATTGCAATCCAATCTCACCATCTCATGTTTATGATGCCCCTCCTCCTCCTCCTCCTCCTCAGCATCCTACTCCTTCTCAACCTCAAGCTCCCCCTCCCTCTCGTTCTCTTTCTCATCTTTCTTCTTTGAAGCTTTCTCCACCTTCTCCTCATAATTGTCCTCTCCTCCTCGTCCTCCTCTTCCTCCTCCTCCTCGATACCAAACGCCTTGTCCTCCTCGTCCTCCTCCTCATTTTCCTCCTCTACCGTCTCCCAATCCTCATCCACATCCTCTTCCTCCTTATGTTTGTCTTCTTCCCCCTCCGCTTCAAAATCAAATGCATTGGCCTCAACTCTTCTCTTCCTCCTCCTCTTCCTTCTCCTTCCCCTCGTCCTCCTCATTCTATGAATCCTCATCCACTTATTCCTCATGTTTGTCCTCATCATTCTCCTCCTCCTACCCCCTCTCACTTTCAAACTCCTTGTCCTCCTCTTCCTCCTCCTCCTCCTCCTCCTTGTCCTCTTCGTCTTCCTTCTCTGAATCCTTGTCCTCCTCCTGCTTCTCTTCCCCTCCTCCTTCTTTAAATTCTCCTCAAGCTCTCCCTCATGTTTGTCCTCCTCATCAGAATCCTCCTACTATTCTTCCTTCTCCTCCTTCTCTGAATCCTCATTCACCTCTTCCTCCTCCTCCTTCTCCTCCTCCTCCCAATGTTTGTCCTCCTGCTCATCGTCTCCTCCTCCTCCCCCTCCACCACCTCCTCCTCCACCTTCTCCTCCAAACCATATTTGCCCTACTCCTCAAAATTGAGCCCCTTGTTCTCCTCCTCCTCCTCCGCGTCATCTGGTGAATGCCGAGCTCCAGTGGCGCCAGCCATAGTTGAGCAACATCCTCCCCCATTTTCCACCGCCTCTTCCTAGCTGTGGAGCGGCGTTCACAACAAGTTTTGTGAATAATGGTTCGTAGCGGAAGGTTGCTCGCAAGGTTTGTTGTGGAGTTGCATTCGCAATTAGATTGGAGGGTAACGCCTCGAAGTGGAGAGGAGGGGGCTGCGTGATCAGGAGCCGTAGCAGCAGGAGTAGGAGGAGGAAGAAGAGGAGGGTGAGGAGCATGACGAAGGTGAGGAGCAACACCTTACTCACAAAACTAAGTGTGAAGCGGCGTTCACAGCTAGTTTTGCGAGTAATGTTCGCCCCCCCCCCCCCCCCCCCCCCCCCCCCCCCCCCCCCCCCCCCCCCCCCCCCCCCCTTCCCCCCCCCCCCCCCCCCCCCCCCCCCCCCCCCCCCCCCCCCCCCCCCCTAGCAGGAGGCTGCTCACAAAACTGGTTGTGGAGCTTCGTTCACAACTAGATTTGCGAGTGACGCCACGAAGCGGAGAGGTGGGGGTAGAGTGAAGAAACGAAAGAGGAGGAAGGGGGGAGGAGCAGGAGGAGTATGAGGAGGAAGAAGAGGAGGGTGAGGAGCACGACGAAGGTGAGGAGCAACGCCTTACTCACAAAACTAGGTGTGGAGCGGCGTTCACATTTAGTTTTGCGAGTAATGTCTCTTATCAAGAGGCTGCTCGCAAAACTGGTTGCGGAGCTGCGTTCGCAACTAGATTTGTGAGTGACGCCATGAAGCGGAGAGGTGGGGTTGAGTGAAGAAAAGAAGGAGGAGGAAGGATGGGGAGGAGCAGGAGGAGTAGGAGGAGGAAAAAGAGGAGGGCGAGGAGCATGACGAGGGTGAGGAGGAAAACATCACTCACAAAACTAGGTGTGGAGCGGCGTTCGCAGCTAGTTTTGCGAGTAATGTTTCGTAGCAGGGGGCTGCTTGCAGAACTGATTGGGGAGCTGCGTTCACAACTAGATTCGTGAGTGACGCCACGAAGCGGAGAGGTGGGGGTAAAGTGAAGAAAAGAAGGAGGAGGGGGGAGGATCAGCAGGAGTAGGAGGAGGAAGAAGAGGAGGGTGAAGAGCATGACGAAGGTGAGGAGCAACACCTTACTCACAAAACTAGGTGTGGAGCGGCGTTCACAGCTAGTTTTGCGAGTAATGTTTCGTAGCAGGAGGCTGCGCGCAGAACTGATTGGGGAGCTGCGTTCACAACTAGATTTGCGAGTGACGCCACGAAACGGGGAGGTGGGGGTAAAGTGAAGAAAAGAAGGAGGAGGGGGGAGGAGCAGGAGGAGTAGGAGGAGGAAGAAGGGGAGGGTGAGGAGCATGACGAAGGTGAGGAACAACACCTTACTCACAAAACTAGGTGTGGAGCTGCGTTCACAGCTAGTTTTGCGAGTAATGTTTCGCAGCAGGAGGCTGCTCGCAAAACTGGTTGTGGAGCTGCGTTCATAACTAGATTTGCGAGTGACGCCACGAAGCGGAGGTGGGGGTAGAGTGAAGAAACGAAGGAGGAGGAAGGGGGGAGGAGCAGGAGGAGTAGGAGGAGGAAGAAGAGGAGGGTGAGGAGCATGACGAAGGTGAGGAGCAACACCTTACTCACAAAACTAGGTGTGGAGCGGCGTTCACATTTAGATTTGTGAGTAATGTCTCTTATCAGGAGGCTGCTCGCAAAACTGGTTGCGGAGCTGCGTTCGCAACTAGATTTGTGAGTGACGCCATGGCGCGGAGAGGTGGGGTTGAGTGAAGAAAAGAAGGAGGAGGAAGGATGGGGAGGGGCAGGAGGAGTAGGAGGAGGGAGAAGAGGAGGGCGAGGCGCATGACGAGGGTGAGGAGGAAGACATCACTCACAAAACTAGGTGTGGAGCGGCGTTCACAGCTAGTTTTGCGAGTAATGTTTCGTAGCAGGAGGCTGCTCGCAGAACTGATTGGGGAGCTGCGTTCACAACTGACGGGGGGCAGCCGACGGCCAACGCTGCCCTGTTGAAGCTACGCGATTTGATTATCATCCTCCTGCTCTTGAAAAAAATGCCGTTTACCAGATTTTCCAGATTTCCAAGATCTTCCCAGAGATGGCCCTGGTGAAAAACGCTGTGTTTTCCTAATGTTCCTGACCTTCCCAGGGATTACACCTGAGAAAACGCTGCGTTTTCCTGATATTCCTGATATTCCTGACATTTCCAGAGACTACCCAGGCGCCGAGGCCTCCTGGGGCTGCCGAAACATTGCCCTGGTGGAAAACGCTGTGTTTTCCTGATATTCCTGACCTTCCCAGGGATTACCAATGAGAAAACGCTGTGTTTTCCGGATGTTCCTGATATTCCTGACATTTCTAGAGACTACCCTGCAGGCTCACGGTAGTCTCTGGAAATGTCAGGAATATTAGGAATATCAGGAAAGCACAGCGTTTTCTCAGGGGTAATCCCTGGGAAGGTCAGGGATATCAGGAAAACACAGCGTTTTCCACCAGGGCAATGTTTCGGCAGCCCCAGGAGGCATCGGCGCCTGGGTAGTCTCTAGAAATGTCAGGAATATCAGGAATATCAGGAAAACACAGCGTTTTCTCAGGGGTAATCCCTGGGAAGGTCAGGGATATCAGGAAAACACAGCGTTCTCCACCAGGGCAGTGTTTCGGCAGCCCCAGGAGGCTTCGGGAAGTCCCAGGAAGCGTTTCGGAAGACTCGGGAAGCCCAGGAGGCCTCAGGAAACCCCAGGAAGCCCCAGTCCCTCCCCCCCCAGGGCGCGCGAGGAAGAGGAGTAGCAAACAACAAATATGTATGATCATGTGGGGGGAGGGCTACCTTCTATTTATCTCTTTATGTCTCAAGCGAAACGAGAGATTTGTCGAGGATGTCTCAAGCGAGACAAGCCATTGTTGAGGATGTCTCAGAGAGGACAAAAAGCCAAGGATGTCTCAATATATCCTCGGCTTTGGCTCCTCTGTTAACATCTTTATGCTGGCTCTGGTGGGCAACTTTTATTTATCACACCGTAACCGCCGAACTTTATTCTCCCTGGGGGTTTATTCTCGGATTCGTCCAAAATCCGCCTGTCGGGACATGCCCGACCTAAGCCTACCATTCACGCGAGAACCCCGTTCTGAAACGAAACTGTCCTGCATGCTTCCAGGTAACAGAAATTCCGCGAAGTGGGATCAACAAGGCTCAAGGAAGTGTCCAGTGAGACTCGTCATGACAAGCAATCACTCTCCATCTGCCTCATGACGGCAGCATTGACATGCTGGCCATACAGCTCGAGAAAGTCTCACGCGAGGTGCCAAGTCTGGAAATGAGCCTCCTTCCATCCGCTTGACTGCTGAACCTTCTATCACGATCATCGCATGTTGGGAAGTCCCAAGCGAAACCTCCATATTGCAAAGAACCCGCCCTCCTTCAATGCATCTCGTGGAACTTTTGAGACAAGCGCACGCTGCGGTAAGACGAGGGCCACATGTTAAATGCGGCCCGCCCTCCATTCGTGCATTCAACCTTACGGAATGCGCGCGGCGCTCAGTCGAGGGCCAGATATTGAGTTTTTTCGCCTCCATCCTTGTAATTCATGCCATCTGGTCAGAGCCATTGGACGAAGGTGCGCATCGCAAAGGAGAGAGCCACATTTTGAAAACCATTGGCCAGTCATCCGTGTATCTGTCGGGGATGTGTAGCATGTATGCGCGCGATGCTGAGGCGAGAAGGAGGTTTGGAGAACGATATGTTGGAGATTTCATGCCTCAGAGCTATACGCAAGTGAGGATGCTCGGGCGAAGCGCCTGGCCAGCCCTGCACGAGCGGGTGGACGAGGACACGGAGGAGTCGGAGGAGGTGGAGGCGGAGGAGGTGGAGGAGGAGGAGGAGGAAGAGGAGGAGGAGGAGGAGGAGGAGGAGGAGGAGGAGGAGGAGAGGGGGAATACTGAATACTGGGAGAGGAGGTGGTGGAGGTGGGAGGTGGAGGGGAGCGGCGAGGAGGGACTGCGAGAAGGGCGAGAGGCTGCAAGAAGAAGGGGAGAGCGGCACCGGAGGACGCGCGGAGAGACGAGGGGAGGCCGGGCGACGAGGCTCTCCGCTCCCCCCGCGGCCGCCCCGCTCCGCGGCCGCCCCCGTGCCGCCCACGAGGTGGAGGGCCGGCCCCCCGTGACGCCCGACGAGCTCAGGCGCCGATCGGGGAGGGAGGGAAGGGCAGAGATCGAGGAGGAGGAGGATCGAGGAGGAGGAGGAGGAGGAGGAGGAGGAGGAGGATCGAGGAGGAGGAGGAGGAGGAGGAGGAGGAGGAGGAGGAGGAGCAGGAGGAGGGGGAAAAAGGCCATCGAACGTCGATCCGGGATGAACAAGAGCACTGCCCTCGGGGAAGCAGCCGGGGGCCGCGCCTGGACGAGGCCACACCGTCGGATGCCTGGGTCGCCCTGCCGGGGGAGGGCCACCCGCCGCATCGGGGGAGAGGGGGGCGGAGGGAGGGAGGGAAGGGCAGCGAATCGAGCAGGGGGGATCGACTGCAGACATGACATTTTTACCACAAGATGAACTTCCACGCGTCAAGTCCAGGAACGAACGCATAGGATGTTCGCAGATCTACGAGATTTCTGTCCAGTTTCTGTGCATTCGATGGGGAAGAACAACAAATAATGTCGATCCCACACTCGAGTGATGGGGGAGGAGGGGGGGCATGGGAGCATTGGAGCATGGATTGGCCTGCCGCCCAAAAGGCAGGTCCGAGAAGAGAAGGGGTAAAACAACAGCGCATGCCACAGGCCATGAGGAAGAGCAAGCATGCGGTCGAATCTGCCCGAGCGGTGAAACACACCAGCAGTACGGCGAATCCAGTCGGACAAGCGCCAGCGTGCAGCAGCAACGTGTGGGGTGGGGAGGGGAGAGATGCGGGAGGAGGAGGAGGAGGAGGAGGAGGAGGAGGAGGAGGAGGAGGAGGAGGAGGAGCGAATACTGAATACTGGGAAACAAGTGGGTGCTCACCTACCCCTGCGCGCACGACGCCCTCACGCTCGTGCGCTTCCTCTGCAGTGGGCCCAGCCGAGCAGATCGTCCAGGGCTCGCTGTGCGACTGCGCTACGTCCTACCTCCAGCTCCTCGTCGCCCTGCGCCCCCTCTCTGAGGACCAGCTCCTGGCACTCGCGGGCGGGCTCATGGAGGGGCGCGGCGCGGCCGCGGGTGAAGTCCTCGCCCGCGACCGCGGAGCCGGAGGCCTCCGCCTTGTCCTGGCGAGCCGATGGGTCGAGTTTGGCTTCCCCCATCTCGGGGCCAACGACCTGCCCGCGGTTCGGCCTCCGCTTCGCGCGCCGGCTCCCTGGCGGGCGCAGGGGCCCGCCCCCAGCCCCCCAACGGGTTGCCCCCAGCAGGCAGCGCCGCCGCACACGGGCCGGGCGCGAGCAGAGCGGGAGGGGCCGCCCCCTCGCTGCGCCCCAGCCCCCCTCGTCGACGACCCACCCCCTGGCAGTGTCGCGCGAGGCACTTCAGCACCATGCCTGACGCCGAACTCCAGCGCTTGGCGCAGGCGCAGCCGGCCTTGAAGAGGCCTCGTGGGGCCAGCCAGCGCGCCGAGAAGAAGGGCGGCGACGGCGACCGTCCCCGCCCGGCCCTCCTCTCGTGGCGCCTCTTCGTCCGCGACCACCTCGGCAGTCCTCCGCCTGAGATCCTCAAGCCAGACGGGGCCCGCACCGCATGCCGGCCCCTTCTCGCGGCCTGCCCTGCACCGCCTCCTCGACGTCGGCCGGGGTCTCGAGGGCCCCAGCGCGGCGCCGAGACGCCTTGGCGATGGCGGAGACGGCTCAGCGGGCGTGGCGGACTGGTTTCGGCGTCACCCCAACATATCTATATCATATTAGCGTCGCTCCCCCAGGGGCGACACGCGCACCGAGAAATCCCATCGCATGTGCGTCGTGGCGCGCGCTTTGGCGCCTCACCGCTCGGGCAACGATCTGCTACAAGAGGGGGGTACTAGCTGTTCGGGTCGGACGCGCGCCTCCAAGGAGGACGTACAGCATGCTCGTGTGTCTCCGTGCGTCCCATAGTTTGGAGGCAGCTCCAGCGCTCGGGTCGGGCGAAAGGGGGGGTTTGGGAAAGGGGGGGTTACGAAATCTGCTGCATGCAGCTGGTTTCGGCCTCACCGATGGGCCCATTCCTCGATACATGGGCGCCTCCAGCTCCGGGAGGCGCCGGGAAAATCAGCTACGTGAGCTGATTCTCAACCCCCCCCTTTGCTATCTCCCCCCCTTTCGCCCGACCCGAAGCGCGGGCAGTCCCGCGGAGCCCGAACCCGGACTGAACCGAAGATCCCGCTCTTGCCGCGCGCGGCGGACTCGGCGGGCGAGGCCGGGGGCCCCTGCGCGCCGCCTCCGGCACCGGCACGGGGCGGGCGCCGCGATCCCGCAGCCCTCCGCCCGCCGAGCAGCGGACCCGAGCCCCGAGGGGACCTCTTTCTCCTCGATGCCCTCCTCCCTCCTCCCCCCTCGATCTCCTCCTCCTCGACATCCTCCGCCTCCTCCTCCTCCTCCTCCTCCTCCCCCTCCTCCTCCTCCTCCGTCTCGATCTCTTCCTCGATCGCCTCCTCCCTCCTCCCCCTCGATCTCCTCGATACTCTCCTCCTCGACATGCAGGAGCCGGCGACGCTCACCGCAGGCCAGCCCCCTCGCTGAGGTCGCGCATACGCCCGTCCAGGCTCTCACTCAGCGCACCCGAGCCCAGGTCGTCGACGCCTTTGTCCAGCTCGGTTTTCGCCAGGCCAGGCTCTGGCGCGTATGCCTCCACGGGATGGGATGACGCAGGGCGACCCGCATGGCTGCTCACAGGAGCACCTCGCCTCCTTTCTCGGCCGCGCTGTCGGCCAGAAGGCGAGCCGAGGCGGCAGGCTGGCGCGGCTTGTCCCTGCCTCAGGGCAGCCCCACGGGTGCAAGCTGGCGACCGCCTTCCTTTGCCAGGACCCCTTCAAGCGCCCCCACGACAACAGGCAGCACATGAGGAGCCCTGACGCCTGGAGGGAACTCCCCTTCCACGGCCGGCCTTGCCACCGCGCCGACCCACGGCTGCTGGAGCCCACGCACTCCCAGACCCTGGTCGACGCGTGGGGCTCCTGGCGACTCCAGGCATGGCGCCGGAGGACCGACGAGCAGCGCCGCGACTGAGCAGAACGCCTCCCAGAGAACTGCGCAGAGCGGCCTCCTGCGAACCTACGCTGGGCGCCACTGCCCCGGAGCCGGCCTCCCGCTCCCCGCCGCGCCAGGGCGCGGCGGTGGGCAGGGCCCCCGCGCCCAGGGCGCCAGCGGCCTGGCCCGCGCGCCGGCCCGTGTTCCCACGCTGCCCTGACGCCGTCGGCGACCCCGCCTCGCGCGAGGCCATGCGTGCGCGACGCGAAGACTCCGTGGGCACCTCGCCCGACGAGACCGTCCTGGTCGGGCAGCCCCCGTCCAGCCCCCGCCCTGCCCACCCGCCCCCGCGGCGGGAGCGCGCCCCCGCCCCAGGGAGCCCGCGCAGCCTGGTGCGAACTCCAATCGACCCCCCTCCCCTCCTCCCCCCCTCCCCTTCCTCCTCCTCCTCCTCCTTCTACTCCTCCTCCTCCTTCTCCTTCCAGCCAGTTGTTCCTCTGTCGTTTCCCCCTGTTTCCCCCGCCCGCGTTCTCCTCCGAACGCCCCCTCGCCAGTGTTGCTGCCGATCCTCTGTGGGCCCATGGGCGATCCAGCGTCTTCACGTTGCGTGGGCTGGCCTGGACCGCGCGCTCTCCGCTTGACTTGCCCTTCGCCGCGTCGCCAAACATGTGTGTGTGTGTGTATATGTGTAGGTGTGTATATTTCTGTACGTGTATCTGTGTAGTGAGTAGATCCATAAGTTATATATATATATATAGAGAAAGAGAGGTGTGCGTGCGTGCGTGCGTGCGTGCGTGCGTGCGTGCGTGCGTGCGTGCGTGCGTGCGTGCGTGTGTGTGTGTGTGTGTGTGTGTGTGTGTGTGTGTGTGCGTGCGTGCGTGCGTGCGTGCGTGCGTGCGTGCGTGCGTGCGTGCGTGCGTGTGTGTGTGTGTGTGTGCTTGTGTGTTCTTGTGGGCATGCCGCGCGCGTTTCCCGTTTCTAGCTCTCGGACCTTCTATGCCTCGACTTTGCGCGAGGCCGCGAGGCCACACTAGTGTATGTGTGTGTGTGTGTGTGCGTGCGTGCGTGCGTGTGTGTGTGTGTGTGTGTGTGTGTGTGTGTGCATGTGTGTGTTTGTTAGTGTGTGTGTTTGCGGGGGGGACGGTGCGCAGGATGCGGGCACATCCCCTCTGCCCAGACAGCCTTCGCCGAGCGAGGCTCCTCGGATGCCCTCGGGCCTTCCGAGACGGCCCAGGCAGCTTCTCAGACGGCCCGAGGCCGTCCGAGCAAGGGCCCCCCCCCTGACTCTCCGCCTGGGCCCGCCGCCGAGCTCTGCCCCCCTGCCCGCACGGCCTGCGCCCCGCGAGAGGCACTTCGCCGACAAGTGGGGCCTCGACATGCGGTCGCGGCGCATCCTGGAGGAGCTGCCGCCCGTGGTGCAGTGCCAGGTCGGGGGGTCGCGGCCGGCAGTGCACGGCGACGACGACGAGGAGCAGGGGAGGGGGGAGCGGGAGCAGGAGCAGGAGCGAGAGGAGGAGGGGAGACGGAGGAGGGAGTGAGAGGGGAGGGCTCCCGACGTCCCCCTCGTGCCTTTTCCGTGTCCGCCCGCTATCTTGACCATTCTCCCCCCCTCCGCTCTCCCTTGCCTCTGCCTTTGCCGCTTCCCTCCCTCTCCGCCTCTGCTTCCCCTTTCCATCCCTTCCCCGGCACCCCCGTTACACCCCTGTCACTCACCGAGCGCATTCGACTACTCGCAAAGTGCCTACTCGACTACTCGCAAAGTGTCAACACCGCATGTCTGATTTGATGTGATTTATCGTAGGTCCCCCTCGGCGGATCCAGGCCATTTGCGAGCAGGTACTTTGCGAATAGTGGAACACGCTCGTCTACTTTCGTCTCACCCCCTCTCCTCCGCTCCCCATTTGCTTCCTCTTTCCTCCACCTCCTGTCCTCTGGTGACTGTGTCCATGGACCGGAAGCACGGACACCGCATGCGCACTTCTCACTCCGACGTCTCTGGTTCAGTGGAGGGGTTGCCTGGGAGACCACGCCATGATGTCCATCGACGTGCATCGGGGGCGGCCAAGAGGGGGGGTGATGACTAGGGGGGGTGGATATCATGGCGGGTGCCATGATATCTCCCCAGATTTCATGGCGCCTCTTTTTATTGCATTACGTCCCTGGCGCCCCCCTGGGCCGCGAACATGCCTCGGGCCATGATTTGCACCCCCCCCTCTTGGACGCCCCCCTCTTGGACGCCCCCGAATCGACGTGCACTTCGGATCTAAAGGCGTGGGCCGCCAGCCGGAAAGGGCTGCTCGCTGGAAGCCGGCTGACCCGACAAAAGTGCGGGATATGGCGAAAGCTTTCTTGACCGGCTTGCTCAGAACCTGTTCTGGTAGATGGCCGCCAGACCGTGGTTTCATGCCTTGTCGCGCATCATGAAACAGTTGATCATCATGTTTTATTTGTTGGTTGGGAAACACAGATTGGCAATGATGGCGCAAGACACCCAGACGGACATCTCAGCTCGAGTCAGGCACATTTCAAGTGAACCTCTCTGGATCAGAGCATTTCGCAGGAGAGAACGTACCTGCTGGTCGGAAGTGGACAGGACCGAGCGGCAGACATATTTATAAATGATTTCCAGAAGTATGGAGATACCAGCTGTCTACGGGTTCCTCCTAAGCACCGGGAAAAGGTGTGTCGACTTAGCCTCTAAATGATGAAACGGCTGAGGTCGATGAAGACAAAACGTCGACTCCGTAGTCTTCTTCAGACTGGCGGCGTGCAGGTCGCAGTTGATAAAACAGCAGTCGACACAGCGAATGAAACAGTCAAGCATCCAGACAAGTTTGATGAACGCGCAGCTGCCGTGATGGTGGCACGGATCGCTGGGTGGAGCGACCAGTTCATGCCGTGCTTGGAGTTAACGCTCAAGTCCGATAGTCTGCGAAGCATGCCGTTCACGGCCCGCGTCGGGAATACATCGAACACGACCGACGTCGTCCAGAATGCCAGGGTGATTGTCCCTCAACCAGTCTTGGGTATCATTTTCCACGGCATCGTGTTCACCCTTCTAGAAAACCCAGCAATTCCAAGTATTTCGCCGAGCAAAGACTCGATGGGCTAGATTTGAAATTTGGATGGGTAAAAGTCAAGTCATCCTTCACACCAGACGAAACATGTATGGCAGCAGTCGCAACGGGGTTCATCAAGAACCAGCCTGGCACGATGCGTTTATCCTCCACTGCCGGAGGGCTTTGACCAAGGGCGTGCCGCCCGCCCTCATGAGCGCAGCAATTCGCATCCGCAAGGCGTCAAAGGTCAACATGCCGGCGGTGAGCCTAACGACCAGTAGCGTCGCCAGGTCGCGCGGGCTCCACTGGAACGACCAATGCCGGCATCATCGCAAGGGTCAGCGTCGAGGACGCCATTGTCTGGGGGAGGGATAAGTATGTGCATAATCATTTAGGGGGTTGCAAGGTTTTCGTATTGCTGTCTGTGCCTGGAGCGACAAGATGTTCACCTTCGGGTATCGCCTGCTAAAGTGGTTGGAGTCTTCAGTGACATGGAGGTCGCTTTACGGTCAAAGCACGGTCTTCTAATCAAGTTGGCAAAGGGTTTATATCATATCAAGTCCGATAGAATACCCAGAAGAAGCCTGGACCGAAAGACAAGGAAACATTATGACGACGGTCTCTTGCGTGGGAGTTTTTGTCCCCACGCTCTGTTGTACAGGTCGTCCCGGATATGATGCAGAAGCAACGTGGGCTGCGATTTGCAAGGCCTTCTGGCGCGGCGCGAGGTTCCTTTCGAACCCCCTATCACCCCATGCAGGAGAGGGCTCGAAAACTTCAATTATGTCGGAGGTGCGCTCCTCTGGGCTCGGGCTGCTTCCTGGGGCCCGTCCCGGGCCACAGCTGATCTCTTGGGCGCCGAGCGCGCGAATGACTGACGTCCTACTTATCCAGACGTGCCAGAGCCCTGCGTGGCCTCATGTACACTTTTGGTCAACGGCCTCGTGAAGCGGGTCAAAAGGCGTCCAAACTCTAGCCGGGCCACGACTAGGCAGCGGAAGCGGTGGCCTCCTGTACACGCAATGTTCGAAAACTCCTGTCGTGTCCAACCTTTCGTGGATCCCCGCCCCCTCAGCGCCTCGATGCGACGTCTGCGCGGGCCGTGCGTGACCAGGGCACCGAATGGAGAGAGGTCCGCTTGAGGGCGTGGGCTGGTGCTAGTTCGGGTACCACAGACTCTTCCACAAGGTCTGCTAGAGGCACAGTGTGCAGGTGGGACCAGCAAGGGGCGGTGGTCTCGATGAAACCTTAAATTGGGCCTGTCCCTCTACAGGAGGAATATTCAAAAATAATCAAACATAGTAGGGAGACGATTTTTCGATTACTTTTCAGCCATGGTTGGGTAGTTGTTTGTGACAGTGTTTAATTTTTCGTTCAAAAACCCTTTGTGAGAGGGCAGGCCCGACCTAGATTTAACTTCGATTGTCCCCGGAAGGAACAAGCCTTTTCTCCCTCGCGGGTGAACTCCTTGAATCTAACTGGGGGAGAAGCACTTTCCCTTTCACGCTTTTTGGTTTCAATTGGAATGTTTTTTTTGACGTGCGTGTCTGCCAAGTGGAATATTCAATATTACCCCATGGATATTTATGTGTTCAGCGCATGTTGTTTGGCACAGACGTGTGTCGTATAACAGCGTGCATTCAGTATGCTGTGCATCTTGGCCGTTCGTGATCGAGGGCCCCTTAGTCAGGTAAAAAGTTGCGTCTCTTCTTCGGGGGGAAAGTACCGCGATTGCCAGAATTTCATGTCAGCCCCGGGTAGGCTTAGTGTGCTACCGTCGGTTGGTATTTGTAGTGGAGGCGGAGATCCACCCTTTGGCCCCCCCGTCGCCGCGATGGATGGGGCGCCGCCTCGCGCTCCGCTTCGCGCTCCGCCCCCCGTGCCGCCTCCAGGCGTCTCGCTGGCCGCTGCTGCCAGCTCGCGGGCCATCACTCCCCATATATCAGAGACCGAAGTGGGTCGCTGAGGGCGTTCAGTGCGCCGAGACGGGCTTGTGGGGTCAGCGGCAGACTCGGCGGCGCCAGGAGAGTTCTCGACTTGGCGCGGGGGTGGAGGCCTTGATGCGTGCCTGACTAAGACGGCTGCAGGCTACGACCTGCTGAAGATCGAGAGCTACAGAGCATTTCGGAGAAAGCTCCAGGTCTCCGAGCGGCGCCGCGGGAAGCGCGGCGCGGCGGCCATCGGAGAGGGCGCGTTCCGAGCGATGAACAAACTCGCTGCGCGGCGACGCCGCCGAGGTCATGGGCCTGGAATTGCTGGGAACGGAGGGTGCTTTTGCCCTGCTGTTCAAGGCCGTAGTTGAAAGCCCGCGCAGATCAGTTCTTTGGTCGGTTCTCCGGGCAGGACGAGGAGACGAGGCAGCTCCTCTGCCTTCGTCGCCATGGAGCAGCGCGAAAGCTGGAGGAAGTCGGCGTGGAGATGTCAGACGTACTTGCGGGGTGGCACCTCCGCGCCCGCGCGGCGGCCCTGCCGCCGGGGCAGGTGCGGGGTCGGTGCGCGGGCGGCCGCGGCAAGACAACAGTTGGTTCTGCTCGATGCGCATGGGCAGTCCATGCGGGTAAAACGCTCATGGGGGACGCTGGTCAGCGCGTTGAAAATCAGTTGCACTTGGGGGCTTGCAAGCGTGGGAAATGCCCGTGGGAGACGCTTGCTAGGGCGCTGGAAAGTATGCTCGAGGAGCTTCAAACATCGAGCTTCGAAGGAGCTTGGATGGGGGCTGCGGCAGAGCTTCAGGCGCGCGCGTCGGGAATGCGTTGGGCAACGCTTGCCGGGGCGCGCTGCAAGCTCAAGCAAGGTGCTGCGAGGATGCTTGGCGGGGGGCCTTGGAGAGGAGCTGGCGCTGAGAAGATGCTGGTCGGCTGCCCTCGCGAGGTCGCTAATTGCCCCTGTGACTGCGAGCGGGGGCGGGGCTGGAGGCGCGAGGGCGCGCTGCTGCGACGGGGTCGCGGAGGCCGACGTCGCGGAGGCGCGGCCGCAGGACGTCGAGGAAGCTCGGGCGGCGCGCGACGAGGCCTGCCCGAGTTTCGCGGGCGCGAAGAAACGAGTGAATGAGATGGCCAATTCGACTGGTTTCCAGACGATCGTCGCCCCCGCCCCGGGCGGCGGTTTCCAGGGGCGCCCCTGGCCCGCCGGGGGGTGGAGTCGCGGGGGAAGGCGCGGGGTGGCAGATGCAAAGGGCGAGCGACGCCAACGGCCGAGTTCCCGCGGGAAGCGCCCCGTCGCCCCCCGCGCCGCGGGGCCGCCGCCGTCTGCGGGGTCGACGGCCGCGGGCTCAATTCAGCAGCGCGGTTCAGGATTTAAGTGGTTCCGAGGCGGAGGCTTCGAGCGGCCCGACGGGGGCGGGCGAGGCGCGCGCGGTCGAAGGGCTC